CCGGCCGGGGTGCCTCCCTGTGTCCGGCAAGCCTGTGCTCCGGCCACTGGGTCCCCTGCCTGTGGGGCTGTTCCTGCCTTTGCCAAGGTGAGCGTGGAAACTGAGGAAGGCTCGGGTCATCCGTGACAGGAGGGTGCCCTGCCAGTGTGGGGCGGGTGTTTTTTTTTTCCTCTCTCTCTTCTTCTTTCTTCTTTTTCTCATACTTCCTGTATGAGGTTAGCTTTTTAAAATGATAAACAAACTATGTTTTTTTCAACTTTTTTTTTTTTTTGGCCCAGTGGCTGCCTGTGCTCTCAGGAGCATTTTGTGGGTGTCCTCCCTCTGCCTACGGGTGCTGTGTGTGCGGAGCTCAGGGTGCTGGGTGGGCTTTGCACCCCCTCCCCCGAGGCAGCAAGGTCCTACCCCCACATGATGCCAGTGGACATCTTCGGGGCTCAGGTGCTCTCATGGCCTCACGAGCTGGGCGGGGGGAAGCAGTCTGGGGCTGGGTGAGCCTTGTGAGGTTGGAGGGAGCTTTGATCTGGGGCGGGGGGCACTAGGGAGCAGGTTTGCCACCCCCTGGGACTCAGTATCCAGAAAGGAGGTTATCACCCTAGGCCACCCCAAGACTCATTCAAAGTCCTGGAGGCTTCAAGCTGCTGCTGGATCTCCCCTCCCACTCTGGGGACTCTGGAGAGAGCCGTCCAGTCAAGTTTTGCTTACCAGGAGCCTAAGCAGGTGCAGTCACTGTGGTCAGTAGGGACTGAGCCTAGGGACAGTGGCTACAGTGGTGACCTCCCACTGGTATGCTTGCCTCCAGAGTCTGACTCATCTGGGGAAGTGGAAACATGCACCTTTGGACCCCACCCCCTCCCTTTCCAATGCGAAGACTCAGGGAAGCCTGAGAATTTGCACTACGCACACATGCAGGTACCTGTGTGCTGGGTGGCATTGAGCCCCGGGTGATGGGGAGGCCCCACGGAGTCTGTGTGTCATCCGTAATCTCCCCAAGGGTTGGATCCCTCCTGTGTCCTCACACAACCTTGGGGGTAAGGCCAGCCTTCCCAGAGACCCTTTGCATTTCTTTCTTACTAACTGTTCAGCAAGGTCATCTGTAATTTTGGCCTTTTGCTATGTCAACCACACTATATCTCTGCTGAAATGTCTATGACATTTAACTCTTTGAAAAATGGGTTTTATGGAGCTGATACAGTGGCCAAGGTGAGGGTCCTCTTCGGGGCTAGACCAGAAAATAACCTAGTGAGGGAGGCCCTTGGGTCGTGACCTTCATCCATTTCCACCTTGGGTATAAACTGAGGGAGCTGTTAGAGCATCTCTCTGTACCAAGGTCTTCTGCACGGTCCTCAGGGGGCCAGCTGTGGCATCCTCTGTGAGCTCTTGATCACCCCAGGTGGCTGCAAGGCTTGGTGACCAGGATGCTGGATGGCAAGGTTCATGTCATTGGCTGTGGGACTCCTTGTGCCTCAGGATAATCCTGACAGCACGCCCCCCCCACCCCAGAGAAGACTCTCGGGTGGGAGGTGGGAGGTGCTCAGTCTGTGGTGGCCAAGGGCACAGGGTGTGTCGGGGCAGCCCTGGGTTGAAGCACACCCTGCTGCCAGGGGCTTGGAAGTCCCTCCACCAGGACACAGTCTGTTTCGGAGCGATGCGTAGGGATGTCATGATGGGGGACACTTTTGTAGAAATTGCTTCTCAGGTCAGATCCCTCCAAATGGCTCTGAGTCCGCTCGGAGCCGAGTGGATGTTGCTGTGAACACAGGAGCCCCATCAGGGATATGGGCAATGCTGGTGGCTTGCTTGCTGGCCCTGACATCTCCAGCAGCACAAAACCCTCGTCACTTGCCCAAAGAGCCATTTTGTCCCTAAAGAGAGTCCATGATGATCAACCACCTTGTTCTGAGAAATAAAAACAGGAGCCTGAGATCCCTACACCTTGGTCTCACTGAGCAGCCCCCCCCCGCCCCCCAACTGCTTGAAATCTCAACAAGCTGACCTGCCCCGAACAGCCCGGGAGGCCTCGGTGGCCATTTTCCTATGAGTTGCTGAGGCCCTTGGTGTCAAGGGGGGTGGGACAAGCTCAGGTGTGTCCTTTGCGGGGGATGGGGTGTCTGGGGGCTCTGGCTTGGCCTCTCACAGGTGAGGAACTGTTTTTCACTTCCCTGGGTACTTCCTGGAAGTAGAGGCATGGAGGGGTCAACTCCAGGGACCAAGCCCCTGCCCTCTGGTGTGAGGGGACGTGGGGGTGGGCGTCTGGGCTCCCATGGCTCGTCCCTTCTTGGACTTGCATGCCAGGACCGTTCCTCTGGTTGCTGACAGGGGCAGAAAGAGCACCTGGAGGAGCTGGTCGGAGCATGCAGAGCTGGCCTGGGCGGGGTTTCCGGCCCCTGACGGGGGCTCATATTTAGCATGGTGTGTGGCCCCCAGGCTTCCCTCGGGTCTGGGGGCAAGTGGCTTCTGCACCCGCCTGGGGAGCGCTAAGTGGGGGGCCTGAGCACCAGCGACCTGCAGGAACAGCAGCGCTGAGCCAAGCTGGGAGGGAGGGTGGCCGGCCTGAGGTATGTGCCACCAGAACCCTTGGGGCCTGTCCCAACTCTGGGAGGTGCTGGAGGTCTCCACCCACCCCAGCGCACAGTGGCAGGTGGAATCCATGGGAGCCATTTCCTGGGAATGGGGGCAAACCGGAAGTAGTCCCCCCTGGGTCCTGCTGGCTCCTTCAGTGACAAGTGGAGCCCTCATGGAGTCCCCGGGAATTTCATCAATTCGTGCAAAATCTCCAGACAAGGGAGAGCAGGCCTCGTGTGGAGAGCTGGGTTCCAACCCTTGGCAGGTTGGGCCACTCTCCCATGGGGACTAGCTGGCCAAAGCCCAGGTGTCCCTGCCAGCCTGACCTGGGCAGGCTTCCTAGTTTCCCACCTCCAGGCCCTGCTTTCTTCACTTGTAAAACTGAGGGTCACCCGGGGGCCTTGGGGCCTGTGGCCTCTCGCTGTGACTTTAATCCATGTGCTCGTGGTGGGGTGTGCCCTCTCCAGCTGCCTGGGCTGCGGCGGTTCATGCCAATCCCAGCTGCAAGGGCTGGCTGGGAAGCCTCCCCTCTCGGTGGTGGAACCGGGGGGGGGGGGACCAGGGTCCCCTTCCACCCATGTGGCCACTGGTGCGTCACTTACTTCCCGTTTCTCTTTGCCCACCCAGGAAGGCGCTGCTGACAAAATCCTGGGTCCGGATGCCAGGCTGTGAGCCCCACTAGAAATGCTAGCTCACCCGGCTGGGGGTGCGGCCCCCTGAGACAGTGCTGGCCTGGCATGTGTGAGGCCCTGGGCTTGATCCCCAGCACAGAGAGAGAGAGAGAGAGAGAGAGAGAGAGAGAGAGAGAGGAGAGGGGCAAACAGGCTCTCAGGACATGGGACAGGGGGCCGTTTCCCTGCAGAGTCATCTAGGGTGTTCCTTCCAGAAGGGCCAGCTCCTCAACTGCCCACCGACTGCTCTCCCCATGGCCACTAGAGGCCATAAGTCCTGTAGGAACTGGTGCAGATCCACCGACTCACGTGTACATGACACTGGGGGACACTACGAGAAATTTTGAGAAACAAAGACTGTCACAAATAGCCGCGTGTTGCCATGACCCCTAGGAGAGCCTTGGCTCTCGGTGGCCTGCGGCTCAGGGAGAGGCTCTCCGGGGAGGGGGTGCACCCTGCCCCCTGCACCACGCGGCTCGGCCCTGCTGCCAAAGGCCTGGTGCGACGGAGGGCTTGGCCCGCCCTCCCCCAGATGTTTGGAAAGCACACAGTGCGCTGATCTGAGCCGCCTCCTTTATTTCCTAACTTCTCACGTCCCTGGTACTAGGCGGCGCATTGTGAATGAATCTCTAGGGGAAGGACCGAGCTTTTCCAGAATCCCACATCCTCCCTCCCACTTTACAGAAAATGTTGTGACATTAATGGAAGGAAATGGGGGAGGGGCGGTCCCTGGGCGTTCACAGTGAACCCTCCTGGCACCTTGGGCAGGCTGTAGGGGGAAGGGACAGCTGGGGAGCCAGGGAAGCTCAGAGTGATGCGTCTCTTCGCTGGCCAGAGACCATTGCTGGAGAGAGTGGGCTGGCGTGGACTTGGCCACCCTCCCAGGGGAGCCCTGTTGCCAGCCCCCTCCTGGGAAAACTTTTCTCCGGGAATGCGTCTGAGCACAGGGCTGGCCTGTGGGGCTACTGTGGGGACCCTGGGGACATGGCACTATCTGCATTTCTGAAGGTGCCCTGCTTCTGTCTTTTGGAAATACCCTTTCACTTATTTGAAAGATCTGAAAATGATCTTCTGCAAACAAGGAGGCCGACTGTGCTGGCGGCAAGCGGCAGGGCGGTTATTAATAGAGCCACAGTCTTTGGGGAGCTCAGTCCTTGCAGCCTCTGCAGCCTCCTGAGGAGGAGGGTTCCCATCTTTCCTTCTCTCCTTACCAGGGCTCCTTGGCTCAAGCTCAGGTAGCTCCTGAGTGTTGGCTGAGGCTCCTGGGTAGGAAGAGGAGAGGTGACCACACTCAGGACGCACCGAGTGAGAGTTCTATGTGACCTCTTGGCTGTCTCTGGGCCCCTGGGGAGGGGAGCTCAGTGTGTCACCCGGGCACACTCCTGGATGTCTCTGAAGTCCTATGCTGCTCTTCAGACCATCAACATCAGGTCTCGGAGAGGAGCCTCAGGGTCCCCCCGGGGGGTGAGACGCAGCTGGAGAATCAGACCTGGCCTCAGCTTTTCAATAAGCAGACAGGATGGTCCCACGCTAAGCAGTGAGCTTCTGGGGACATTTCTGGTGGCTTCTGAGTTATTTTTAGGTGGACACTGCCTGTCTCCCTCACCACCTGCAGCTCTCATGGTCACTGTGTGAGTCGATGCCGACCCGCTCGACTCCCCGGCTCACCGTGGCCTTTACAGTCTCTTCCTTTTGGTTTCCATGGAGTGACTGTCTCTCAGTGTGGTTGGCAGTGACCTGTGTTTTTCATGCATGTTTTTGTTTCAGAATAACTGGGAGACGGAACAGGAAGCTCTATGACACACTCGGTCGAAAATGACACAGACTCAGAAAAACCAGGACTCAGCCCCCCAGCGCCTCTGCCTGCTGCCGGCTGGAAGGCAGGACAAGGGGTCTCCTGGGACCGGATTCTAACCGCTGTGGACGCTCAGGGTTTCCATGTTCACTGGGATGTTTCTGCAAACTTTCGGTCAGGGATGGTGCACTCGTGATGTTGTCTTATTTATCTGGCCAGTCTCTTGTGTCTTAATCCCTCTCCTTCATTAAAGCAAAACTCAAGAAAACCAAACTGTTTGCTTATTCGCTGCCTGGAAACCCCAGCTGAAGGGGCCGACCCATGTCCGCTGAGCTCCCCCAAGGCACAGGTGACGCTCGTCTCCACCACCTGTTCCTGACCATGTTGGGCTTGAACCTCTGTTACTCAGCCATGCTTGTCCTGCTTCTTAAATCTCTAGAAGGTCTCTCTAGAGTCAGCATGGGCAGGTCGACCTTTGAGAAGAACCCTGGAATCCATCTGGAAATCTCTTGCCTCGCCCACCCTGATCCTGGCCTGCACCTGTGACCCCAAGATCACCAGGAGCCTTTCAGCTGGGGACCTTGGCCTTATCTGTGTCCCCCTCCCTGCCCCACATCCACCACCTCTTTGCTTATTCATTCCCTAAAGTTTTCTCTGGGGCCTACTGTGTGCCCGTTGCTGCCGGCAAGGCCCAGGTTGTGGCCAGCTCTGCTCACCTCCTGAGGGGCTTTGACCAGGTAGTGCCCGGACAGATCACCAGGCCCGGCTCACTGAGATGCCCTGATTCCCCAGATCCACGCCTCAGAGCTGAGGCCTGGAACTGGCCTCTTCATAGTCCTTAAAGAAACAAGATGGCAGGCCAGCCTCCTCTGCCTCTGGCCACGAGCAGGACAACCCACCTCCCTGAAGGTGTGCCTAGAGAGGCCACTGTGGTCACCTCCCAGTACCGTCTCTTCATCTGTAAGCTTAGCAGACATTCCGGAACGATGCTGAGTGGGTGAGCTCGTGACTTCTCTGCAAGGCTGCCACGCTGAGCTGTCTGGCCTTCCGACCAGGGTTTGGTGGGCACTGAGGCTGGTTGACGCTGTGGCCAGGACTGGCCAGTGTCAGCCAGGCTCTCTCCATGACACTGCCCAACAGGAAAGGTGGCCTGTGGATCGATTCTCATCAGAAACCCAAAGTTGCTCGCTGTGTTTTAAAAAAAAGTTTATTTGCTTATATTCCTGGAAAATTGTGTTGTGGAGGGACATGTCCTCCGTGGGGTGTCTCTAGCTGCTGCTTCTCAGCAGGACATTAAGAAGGCCAGATAAAATGACTCTTAAGATCCCCCTGGTCGGAGCTTCTTGGTTTTTTTTCTCTACTGGTTTCATGTGACTGGATCCTACTAGAGAGGGAGCAGTGCAGAGGGGTGACATTAGTGTCACGGACCCCGAGTCACCCAGGCCTAGCTGGACTTACACACAAGGGGCTCCCCTGACAGGCACACGTTCTCCCCAGGGGTCACCCCTCTCCCATGTTCCAGAGCAGAACACAACAATATCCTTTGCCCTTTCCCAATCCTACCTGCTAGGGTTACATTGGGCCTTAAAAATATGGCAGTCAAAGGCTTGAGGAGAATCAGAAATAACCCACAGAGTGTTCCCAGGCCAATGGGTTCATAGGAGGATAAGAGAAAAAGCAAGAGGGTGGACCGTGCAACTCCAGATGGTTAGGCTCTAGATGGTTACTCTGCCCGTGGCCAGATGGTAGAATTACTCAGGACTTACAGAAAAACATTTTTAGACCCTCAGGCCCACCTAGACCCATCCCATCAGAATTGGGGGTGGGGTCAGGTCTCAGTCCTTTTAACAACTTCACGGGCCATTTTGGTGCATAGTTGGAAACATCGGCCTGAGGTTCCCTTGTCCAGTGCAGTAGCCATGAGCCACAGGTGTCCTTTGAACACTTAAAACGTGGCTCCCGCGACCAAAGAGCTAAACTTTTATTTCCTTTTTTTTTTTATTTCGGTTTAATTTAAACTTAAATATCCACATGTGGCTTGGGTCTGCCAGGTAGGACAGCTCAGAAAAGAACACATGTATCACGAAAAGAGTAATAAAGAAAGTTCCGTGGGTTCGTGTGGCCTGAGGGGGCCGCAAGACCTGACTGCCGTCTGAACGTGGGAGGCCTGCGGCGTGGCTCTGTTGACTTCAGAGGGACCTGCCCTCCCGTCCTGGGCCTACAGTGTGTTTTGCATCTATGTTTTGCACGGGGGCTGTGTACCAGCAAGGCCAATATGCTTTCAAAGCACTGAGCCGTACGAGGAAAAGAATCGAGAATCAGTCTCGACCCAGGTGCAAGGCCCGGACCCGACACCTTTTTGTGTCCCCCTCGGCCAGTTTGCTGTGTCGGCGGCCTCTTTGGAGACCCAGCCCGAGAAGGGAGCTTTTCTGCTATGGAATGACTCTATTCCAAGAATCTGGGACAGTCCCCGAAGAACTTTTGGGAAAACCAGGGTCTAGATGTGTCACCTGGGAGAGGAGTCATGGTTTCGAGATGGGCTCAGGGACGTGGCTCAGCAAGCTCCACCAGTTTGGGGTTACAGATGAAGAAATAGAAGTCAAAGCTGAATCATTTTCTGCTTATCACTCAGAGAGTGTCAGATTTTCTCTTTTTTGGTTGGAGGGAAAGCACCTGGACGACGAAAAGAGTCATACTATTTTGAATTTCAGAGCTTTCCCTTTTTCAGAGCACCTCACCCTCTTGGGCTTGTTTGGTCCTCATAACAAGCCTCTAAGACAAGCAGGAAAGGGGCCTTTGGTGGCCAGCACCCCGAGAAGGAGCTCGACACCGTGGCAGGATTGAAGAGAGCAGGCTTGGTGGTCCGATCCCGGGCTGCACATGTGAGCTTAGGTTGTGTCACTCAAAGCAAATGTACACATTACACAGATTTTTTTTTTTTTAATTTCAATTTACAGTGGGTTTTGTTTCTAAAGGAAACAGCACTCTGCACTTGTTCTATCGAGTTGCACACCAGGTTCCTAATCCTCGAGGCGGGATTCTCTGGGGACATCCCTTCCTCAGAGGCTCCACTGACCTACAGATTTGGTAAATATGCCTTCAGTGTCTTTCTGCAAGTTATTTAAAAAATGGCAGCCGGGACAGAGTCCCATGGGTCTCCACGAGACTCATTCCTCCCTCCTACAAGGCACAGACAGCATGACACCCTTCCCTTGGGGGTCTTCAACCTCTTCCCATGTAGAGTAGCAGAGAGTGCTGTCAAACCACACCTCCAGGGGACAGCAGCCGCTTATGGGTCTGAGCAGCTGAGACCTCATGGTGGCCCCAGCAACCAGGGCCGTCTCCAGGGCTGACGTGGGAGTAAGGCTGGCAGGATGGATCTGATGCCGCCAGCTGAGCCCCGAGGAGGTCTGTCCTGCCCGTGTGACCCCTCCTAGCCACACCGCCATCCGGGCCACTGTGTGCACCCACACACACAGGACACGAGAGTTGTCGGTGCTCTGCTGAAAGCCAGCCACCCTTTCTGGGGCATCCCCCCACTCGACTGAGCTGGGGAGGCTCGTCAAAACAGGAAATGAGGTTAGCATGGAATGACTTTCTCTCAGAGAACTCGGTGGCCTCCTGGAGACCACCTCTAGCTTCCCAAAAGGCCGTGGGCCTGGCTCCGAGCCTCCCTGGGCTTTCCTGGCCAGGCGAGGGCATGTGCTCCTCTGCGATGCTCCGAGCGGCTCCTTGGGAGAACAGTGGGGGGGTCTCCTGGCTCCAGCCCCGGCCCCCTCCCTGGCAGGCCAGCGTCCCTGAGCCGTGGGCACGTGGGCCTGAAGTGAGACGGCACATTCTGCAGCCACAGCGAGGTGCACGCACCCGGCCGCAGGCTCATGCCTGGGCTCCTGGGTTTCGGGTGGCTCCTTCCCTCGGGGGTTGATGCATCCAGCACGTTCCCAGGTCATCAGGGAGGTGCTAAGAGAAGGCTGCGCCAGGGAGGTGACGCTTCGCGGGAGCCACCCACTCCTCCCAGCTCCATAGAGGACCTTTGGCTCAGAATGTGCCAAGAGTGGAGTGACCGGGCCTGGTGGCATTCGAGTGAGCCCCACACGGTGCCCTAGCCATGGAAAGAGTGACATCCTCTCCCCCCTGCAGGGCCTTCCCACCAGCAGCCCTGGAGGAGGTTTGTCCTTTCCTTAGTGCTGCAGTGCTTTGAGCCACACGTTCCTTCCTGGGGTAGAAAGGAGGGAAGGTCTGGCCTGACCTTAATGCTGGGCTGGACAGTTGTCTCCAAGCTCCAGGCTCAGTTGACTTTTTGGAAATGCACCCGCCCGGGCCCTGTGCTCTCACCCCTGGGATCCGGATCTGCTGCCTTTCCCCACACGATGCAGCAGGACCTCCGAGGCCAGCCTGAGCGGCGGCTGGAGTGGGTCAAAGTCCTGCTCCTCTCCTTCATCCCAGGGCCTGGCCGTCCTCTCCCCAGGTCTAGGGGCGCCATGTTTTCGGTGATGCATGCGCCTTCCTAACACCCCGGCTCCCTGGTGAGCCTCAGTTTGCTCTGGACCAGCTTTCGGTGGCTTGTAACTGCCAACCCCACAGCAGGCCCCAGGGGCAGGGTTAGTGTCCTTTTGTTAGGTCAACAAAACTGAGTTTTGGTGAGACCCCAGGTCATAACACTTGTGACATGGTGCCTCCTGGGTTTAGATCCAGAGGGATCCAGTCCCACGCCTCTTGTCATTATGTTGTCTCTGTACTGCGTAAAGGAAAATCCATTTTCCCTTAGAAAAGGGCTGTGAGTGCTGAGTGACATTGGGAAGGGACTGTGTCACTGGGGTCAGGGGCAGGCAGACCTGGGCTCTGCAGGCCACCTGGGTCAGAAAGGCAGCAAGGGGCTGGCCCTCCCGATGCCACCAGAAGCTGCACTTCCACAGATCCCAGGGGACTTTGAGGGCACGCAGGTGCAAGGTCTGCTCCTTGCTCTGGGCACTGTGTGGGTGACGGAGAAGTGGGTTCTGCCCTCGTTCTTCCCAGGAGCTGGTCAGGGGGTGGGACAACCAGGCAGATGGAGGCTCCTGGGGTCAGGTGGGGCAGCCCTGGCCCCTCAGCTCCTCAGGGAGGGGGAAGGGCCAGGAAGCCATGGAAAGAGCAGGGTGGAGCAGGTCATCACTGCCATCAGGGTGGGGCGGAAGGAGAAGAGGGACATCCTCCAGGTGGCTGCTCCCCCTCTGGCCCTCGCTCCACTCCTGCTCCCTTCTTCCAGGTGCAGGGCACAGCTCTGGAATCACTGTCCCCGGTCCCTTTGGGCAAGGTGGCCAGGGACCCTGGTTTGCTGAGGATGGGCTCTTCATGGCGGCTAGACATCGACCTAGGGCCATGCCTCACTTCCTGAGTCCCCGTCGTGCTCAGAGACTTCCTGGTGTGGACGCTTAGGTCCCATCTTTGGGCCCCACATCGGCGTTGCTGTGCCACCAGGAGCTGGATCTGCAAACACCAGCTCCTGATGCGGGGAAGGGAGCCCGGCAGCCCCCGTGGTTCTGGCAGGGCCACCTCAGAAGACAGAGGGTGGACGATGGGGAGGGACAGTGTATGCACTCGGCACCTGGGTGAAGGCCCGTGGTCATGCAGGCATATGTGCACGTGTGACATGGGTGTGTTGCATGTGGGGTCATGGGGTGTTTGGATGGGGTGCCTGTGTGCCTACGGGGTGGCACACTGTGGGGGGGTGTACACTGCCTGTGTGTCTTGTGTGTGGTGTGGTGTGGTTGAGCAAGGGGGACATGAGTGGGTGTTGTGGTACAAGGGTGTGTGGCACAGGTGGGCCTGTGGGCCTAGTGGGTGTGTGCAGGACTGTGCCCACGTGATGTGGGTGTGGAGTGGCCCTTGGCTGTGGGAGTCACATGATGCCTCGTGTGCTTCCCGGGCCAGGGAGGGGCAGAGGCACGGGCCAGGGAGGGGCAGAGGCACAGGCCACCTGGGTTGCTCACAGTCTCCCCAGGTCTCCGTTTGACACTGCCCACAGGGACCGCCTCCCAGGCCTGCTCGCCCACGGGCACAGAGGCCCTGCTGAGTGCAGAGCCAGACACCCAGGCCTGGAGGCGAGGTGGGTGGGTGGGGCTTCCCCAGGTTGGGCCTAGCACCTTGCTGGGCCCTAGGAAGGCTGTGTCCAGGTCACCACCTGGAGCCCTTTCCTCCTGCCCTGCTTAGTGACACAAGGCCCCTGTGGATGCTTCTGGCTCCAACTTCCTGGGTAGCAGCCAAGATGGAGCCGGGAGCTCCCTCCTCCTGCCTCTTGGTCACTGACCTTCCTAAATTGCTTTCTCCTGGAGATAGGGCAGGAGAGACCAGGA